AGAATTAAATTCACCATCAATTAACCCTCTTTCATCCCTTAATTTCTGTAACAAAAAAATATAAACTNGAAGCAATTAGACGGAGAATTAAATTCCCCATCAATTAACCCTCTTTCATCCCTTAATTTCTGTAACAAAAAAATATAAACTGCCATGAAAGTCATGGGCCAGTGCCAGAAAAATGATTGTTTTGCGGCGCAAAGTGACTCGCGGTAATTAAAAACTCACCTCTCCCCTCCTAATTGAGATTAAGGGATGAAAAAATGGCAGAATTAAATTCACCATCAATTAACCCTCTTTCATCCCTTAATTTCTGTAACAAAAAAATATAAACTGCCATGAAAGTCATGGGCCAGTGCCAGAAAAATGATTGTTTTGCGGCGCAAAGTGACTCGCGGTAATTAAAAACTCACCTCTCCCCTCCTAATTGAGATTAAGGGATGAAAAAAGGGCAGTTAGACGGAGAATTAAATTCTCCATTAATAAACCCTCTTTCATCCCTTAATCTCGGTAACAAAAAAATATAAACTGCCAAGAAAGTCAGGGGCCAGTGAGAAAAATAATAGTTTCGCGGCGTACAGAGACTCCCGGTAATTAAAAATTCACCTCTCCCCTCCTAATTGAGATTAAGGGATGAAAAAAGGGCAGTTCGACGGAGAATTAAATTCCCCATCAATTAACCCTCTTTCATCCCTTAATCTCTGTAACAAAAAAATAAAAACTGCCATGAAAGTCATGGGCCCTCGAGAAAAATAATAGTTTCGCGGCGTACAGTGACTCCCGGTAATTAAAAATTCACCTCTCCGCTCCTAATTGAGATTAAGGGATGAAAAAATGGCAGAATTAAATTCACCATCAATTAACCCTCTTTCATCCCTTAATTTCTGTAACAAAAAAATATAAACTGCCATGAAAGTCATGGGCCAGTGCCAGAAAAATGATTGTTTTGCGGCGCAAAGTGACTCGCGGTAATTAAAAACTCACCTCTCCCCTCCTAATTGAGATTAAGGGATGAAAAAAGGGCAGTTCGACGGAGAATTAAATT